AGCGCGGCGGCAGCACGTGCGCCGGAACTCTTGCGAGCAGCTGTGCATGTGAGGGCGCGGATGAAGGCGATCATGAGCTTTACAATGCGCGTGTTGAAGCGGACATCTTACCCGTGTGCCCGCCGTCTGCACGTCATGGCCAGCTGGCTTACCCAAGTCGTCTGGCCGTGACGATGTGGACGACCCATGTCGTCGTCGCTGCAACGGGAGCGGGAGGATGCAGTCGTGGTCGGGGGCGGGCGTGAGAGGACGCGGAACAGACGCACGAGCTAGGTCCCTCGCCGTTGAGGTGTGCGCCCGGCGCAGTTTGACGGATGCCGACGATTGGCGTCCCCATCGCTGCTCTGAAGCACAGCGCTGGCTGCATGTAGGCGCGGTCGGGGGCAGCGCGGCAGTCGTGGAGCGAGCGCGGCGAGGCGGGGTGGTTTATGGGCGGGTATCGGAAGCCATATGTCTGAGTAGATAGTGACCGGGCAGCTGAGTAGTTTGCAGTGCACAATATAGATGTATCCTGTGAGGGAAAGGACGGCAGTGGTGTCAGCGAAACGGCGCAGGACAGAGGCGGGACGCACGCACTAGATCGCCCCGCCGCTATGATGTAAGACGCGGGACCGGCGCAGTTTGATGACGCAAGTCTTGCGGGGGCTGATCGCGCGCCGCGAGCTCCCCGTGCTGCTCGGCGCGTGCGCGGGGGACTGACGCTGGGGGTGCGGCTGAGGCCGCTGAGCGCCCACTCGCTGGCGTGCGGGGGCGCATTGACAGAGCAGGCGTTGGCGTGCTGGGCAAATGGCTCGGAGACGAGCTTGACGGTGAAGCCGCACGACGAGGATGTTTGTGGCGGTGTCCTTGAGGGCGGATGCGTCTGCCGTGGGCTGATGGAGGAGGAGGCCGAGAGAGATGACCGGGGGATTGGAGGTGACCATGGGTCAGCGCGGGCACGGACCGCAGGAAGAGTGCGCAGAGGGTACCTAAAGAGGGACAGGTTGTTGACGCCGTCAGCAGAGACGCAGGAGATGAACGCGATCGGACGCGGGACGACGCCGCCCACCATCAGCTGGTACTGTGGGCAGAGCGCTGTGAGCGGCAGCTGGCGCGAGCACACGACAGAGACGTACGATGGCTACAGGAGGCGTACGCGGCGGGCGCGGCAGCGGAAGGGACAGATAGCACGCCGGGTACGCCATGAACACCCCCGGCGGGAACGCGAGCGCCCCCATCTCGCCCCCATCCCTCCTCTCCCTCTCACGGTCCTGGTCTTGCTCCCGCGCGACGTCGCGCGCGCCCATCGGTCCTGTCCCTGCCCCATCCGCCCGCGCGGACGCGAACCAGCGCTGCGCCGCGACACGCCGCCGGTACTCGCGCCCCCAGTCGATGCCCGCACCCGCGGCGTCCCGGCTCCCGACGACGCCCGGGCCTGGCAGCGCGCACAGGTCGCCCCATGTGCCGCGCGGGTCGTCCCACGCGCGGAGGAAGAGCGCGCGCCAGAGGTGCTGGTCGGGGGCGGCGTAGACGAGGGCGGCGAAGGCGCGGCAGGTGCGCGCGAGGGCGGCGGGGGCGGCGGGGGACGCGGGGGCGGCGAGGAGGAGGACGTGCTCGAGGAGCTCGGCGGGGAGGGTCTGGATGGGCGCGGGGTCGCGGGGACGCGGGGTGCCGTGCGTGCGCTGGACGGGACTGCGGCGGCCTGCGTGCACGGCGAGGGGAGCAGAGGGAATGCGGCGCTGCCATCTGGCTGCAGCGACGAGCACGAGATGGCTCTGTATAGTGACGCCAGTGGAAAGAACGGAGGGCGCAGACAGCGTCGACGCGCGCGGCCTGGGCGCGCAGAGGCCCACGGGCGGATACAGCATGATCTGTGATCCCCGTCGCTGTCGCTGGCTGAGCACCCCACGGTGATCGGACATAGCACCGGCGTAGACGCGTGTATAGGGCGTGTATGCGCACACTGGTGTGCGCGGGAGGGCGCGGGAGCGAAAGGCCAGATAGCACGGGTGCGGTCATGACAAGCGGGGCCAAGGGACGATGGACAGGATAGGATGGAGACCAGCGGGGGCGCACGCGATAGGGCTCGAATGGAGGGACGCACCCACGGCGAGGCGGCGCAAGAAGGAGAAGCGCAGAAACACGCGATCGAGGAGAATGAAGATAGTGATCGGGTGTACGCACCTATTTGCACGTCTCTGTGTAGACAGTACACGATGACGCTCGGATGCTATGCGTGCGGATGGCTGAGGGCGAATGGGGAGGCTGCCAAAGACGGAAGCGGAGAGAGCAGGAGCGACCTGGGCGCAGCGCGGTCGGTTATAGAAGATGTTGGTAGGCGGATACTGGGAGAGGGTGCCGGTGTCCGTGATGTCAGCGTCGCCGTCGTTGGTCGCAGTAGAGAGAAGCGAGGAGTCGTCGCAGGCAGAGTCAGCCAGGGTCGGAGGACGGCGGGGCTCGCACGGCTCAGCGCCAGCGCCACCTCCCTTCCGATCACATCTCAGGTCGCCGACGCCAGATGTGCGACGTCATACACGCGACAGCCCGGTATCGCACTTGAAGCGCCGGTCTGCCGATGGTGACAGTCGTTCAATCCTGGGTCTGCGTCCCTGTCCGATTGGCGGCCTTCCCGGGCGTCCTTCGTCACATTCCCGTTCTCTCGCAGACTCTCCCGCCTTTTCACATCAACTCGCCTCCATCGGTCAGCCTCCTCGCAGATGACGCGTATCGCTGCCAAACGCCTCGCCAGCATCCTCTCATCGACGCATCACCCATGCCCGATCCGTGCAACCCCCACTCAGCCCCCCGAGTCGCGTGATGCGCGAGCACAGCGATGGCTTTGCGAGGAGGCCGTCTCCTGCGGATTCCCTTTCACGATGGTGGGTGATAGTGACCGTGAGGAAACACAGCGCAAAGGATGATTGATCCACGCTATCACAGACGCACTTCATGCCGAGTCTGCGCTATATCACACTACGATACTCTGGTTTCGCGTGTGGGCGTTCGGGCAGGGATCGGCACT